GGTTTTTGCCAGATGAAGGGTGTTCCCCCCGGGGGCGGCCCGGTGGCGCCCTGGATAAGTGCGCCACTTGGGAAGCACGGCGGCGCTCCTGACCGAGGGGTCGGATCCCACATACAGACCGGTTCCCGCTCACTGGCTGAGCGAGGCGCGGGAGCAACACCGAGGGTTACAGTCCCGTTGCCGGTCCCCGGTCCGGTACGGGGGCAACACTGAGGGTTGCGATCCGTTGCCGGACACGGAAAAAGACAAAAAGACAAAAAAAAAAAAGAGTGTTCACCCCAGAATGAAAAAGAACATCAGCTAAGGTGCGAAGACATGAAAGTACGTGGTGTGTGCAGAGAATGATGAGTAATAAATGAGGGTTGCGATCCGTTGCCGGACACGGAAAAAGACAAAAAGACAAAAAAAAAAAAAGAGTGTTCACCCCAGAATGAAAAAGAACATCAGCTAAGGTGCAAAGACATGAAAGTACGTGGTGTGTGCAGAGAATGATGAGTAATAAGGAGTAATAAGTTCAGTAATAGTGCCAGGTCAGGCTGGAAAGGTGGGCTGAGATTACACTAGGAAGAAACTCGAACGCCTATGCAAAGGAGTTTTGGGCTTTATTCCGTAGGTCTGAGAGAGAGACATAAATACAATGAAGGTGTAAGATATTGAAGATTAAAAGAATATAGGAGAAAACTGTAACATAACTCTAAAGCAAACAGGTGACAATTGACTAGGTCTCTACTAGAACAGCCACAGTAAGAATAGAAAAGAGATATTTGCCTGTCCCTGATCTTCTATATTAGCCCAACATGACGAGCCCCCACCATAGGCAGAGGTGCAGCTAAGATCTGATGTGGAGGGAGGTTGGACTGGAGTTGCTGATTGACTAGCAGTGGGCTTTCAGGCTGGCCTTGAGTGAGTGCTTCCCTAAATCTTGTACCCTGGGCCGCCCCACCCTAGCTCCAGCACTGTCTAAGACTACCTGATCAGGGGAACACAATACCATTTTCTAGGATAAGACAACCCAGAAGCTGGTTTAGGGAAGAAAAATAATAAGCTTTGTTTGGTGCCTGATATTTTTTATGGTTACTAAATACAGATGATGATTTCTTTTTTCCTGTATGTTTTTCAGTCTCCAACCTTAGAGATCAAGTTTCTTCTACATGGCTTTAGTGTGTAGAATTAATCTTGTCAATACCCACATTGGCAGCATTTTTCTTTCTCCTTTCAGCCCAGAATTCCTTTCACAAGCAGCTGTTCCTTAGGAGGATCTGATTAGGAATTCCATTTACTGACAATGGTGGAGGAGATTCCTGAGGAAACTTCAGGCTTACAAAATGATAGGTGTGGGCATCGATTTTTAATAAACGGAACATGGGGCATATAACATCCTGCTTCTGTGGGAAGTATCAGCCAAGGTAGTATTGGAGATGGTGGAAATAATGTGAGGACCCAGTGAACATGGAAGAACAAGACCAGGAGCAGAGAACCCCCCGGGGAACCAGAGTGAGTGAGATGAGTCTGAGAGCTGTGAACAGGAGAAATTCTTACAGCCTTGGATGAGTTAAGAAAGCAGGGATTGGGTAAAGAGGCTGCGGTCTTCTGGGTTATTTCAGGAATAAAGGAGGTAGGATATTTCATACATCCTCCGCTCTTTCCCCACCCATGTTAGTTTCCTAGAGTTGCTCTAACAAAGTACAAAAAACTGGGTTATTTAAATAGCAGAAATGTATCCTCTCTCAGTTCTGGAGACTAGAAATCCAAAGTCAAGGTGTTGGCAGAGCTGTGCTCTCTCTGACGGCTCTGGGAGAGAATGCTTCCCTGCCCCTCCTAGCTTCTGGTGTCACCAGCAGTCCTTGGTGTTCCTTGGCTCATAGATGCATCATGCTACTCACATGGCCATCTTCTCTCTGTGTCTTCCTATTGTCTTCCCTGTGTTTAAATTTCCCCCTTTAATAAGGACACCAGTCATGTTGGATTGGGGTCCACCCTAATGACCTCACTTTAACTTGATTACCTCTGTAAAGACCGTTTCCAAGAAGGGTCACATTCTCAGGTACCGGGGCTTGGGACTTCAATGTATCTTTCGGAGAGTACACAGTTCAACTCATAACACCACCACAGGCCTCAGACTGGCCCTAGCACTGCTGTGAAGACTTTTCCCTGCAGTGTAGATTGCAGATGTGTTTCTCACTCTCAGAAGTCCCTGCTGAGAAGTCGTGGGACAGCTCTCTGCCTCACCCAAATGCACTTGGACGATGGCCAATTGTGCGCTTGCTTCACTGCTGTGGGGTTCCAGCAGTCACCACACTGTCCTTGCATAGGGCAGCTCTGAGCCTCTGAACTTCAGTACTCCCCTCTGCATGTAGAGAAGACAGTGGGGGAGATATGGGGTCAACCCTGGCATTTTGGTATCAGCAAATGTGGCAACAGTTTGAGGGGAAATAACCTCTGCTGATCCAGGCAAAAGTGCCATTCGCGTTCAGACTCTGACATGCTTCTGCAGTGCTTCATACTGGCATCCGCCTCAAGCTCCTCAACGTGATTTTTATTTTAAGATTTTATTTTTTTGTGATTTTTTAAATTTTAATTCTTCTTTTGTTCAATACGTTCAACATTAAATTCAATATTACAAAATCAGTCTGGCTGGCCATATTTTCTTTGACGGCTAAATTGAAATGAATTATCTTTATCCTAGGTCATAGTTGTTTCTTAAAAGAATTCTGCTGGAATTAGCTCTCTCTGGTTTCTCCTGAAAATGATAAAGTGGCCCTTATGAACTAACTCTTGCCTACTTTCTCTAAACATACTACTGCTCTGGTGTTTGCCTTTTTGAAAGTAAAACATTTTATATGTTTATGTCTTTATAAAACAAGGGAAATCATCACTAAATTGTAACGTAAGTCAAATTCTTAAGTGACTAATGGCATGTTATGTCAAAATAATACTCTTAAATTAAAGAGTTCATATTAAGGATGATTTTTTAAAAAAAATCTCTGT